ATTAATATTATTTCAGTATAATAATTTATGGTTATTCACTAATCATTATTAATCACCATAATTAATTATCCACTTTAATTATCTATTTATTCGTTATAATGAGCTAGTATGCTTCTTCATTTAAGGATTATCAATTACTTAATCACTTATGATTATTAATTAATTATTTGTATTTAATAAATAAATATTATTATTATAAAAATAAATTAAGTCCCACTCTGTGAGCGTTTTCTCCCAACCGCAGAAAATATCTCTCTTGAGTTTTGGTACATCACCGTAATTGCACTCCTGATTAATTGCCTCTTAGGAATATTAGAGTAGAATATATTTTTAATTTGATATCAATATACGTGTCTTTGATAAATAAAGTGATTATTAATGTAATTTGTGTTTAGTTATCTGTTCCCCGTTGATTAATTCTGAGTCATCGTTATATGTTGTGTTTAGGTGCTGTACTAGAAATCCCCGTGTTCTCCATTTCACGGATATTAGAGTTACCCTTGAACAAATCCACAAGGGCCGTGACGATGATTTGAACCTGCGTCCGAGAGCATCCTAGACTCTGCCTTAATCGACTGAGCTACGACATGGTAAAAGGAGTTGAAACCGAAGTTCTACTGAACTTACTGGATCCTGCAGCCTCTCCGAGGCACAACCCAGGGTTTTACACAACTTCCCCCATGCACTCGAGCTATGTCAATAGGCCGTTCTCCCTCTTCGCCCTTACTTCATTACACACAGAAATCACAACTGCGTGATGCATCAAATGAACAAATCCACAAGGGCCGTGACGAGGATTCGAACCTGCGTCCGAGAGCATCCCAGACGCTGCCTTAATCGACTGAGCTACGATTAAAAACCCTGGTTGTGCCTCGGAGAGGCTGCAGGATCCAGTAAGTTCAGTAGAACTTTGGTTTCAACTCCTTTTACCATGTCGTAGCCAAATATTTTAGTTTTAATATTAGCTGGTAGTTCAGCGAGGGTCACAGTGATCTGCAAGCAGTCTTAAGCTGGGGTACTAAGAGTAAAGGGAAAAAGCAGGTGGGGTTATTATAATGGGGCCACAATTACGGGGCAGGGAACCTGACAAAACAGGGGCCTTTCAAGGGGCGCATTATGGACATGCACCACACAATACTTACCTTGAGAACCGTCAGTCTGTCGAGATTGAGTTGAGTAACGATTGCAGAGTTTGACATATAAGCCTCCCCTCGCTCGAACACGTCAGGTACACCAGTTATGCAGGCGTAAGACAGTCTCATCTCAACTCATCCTCCATCAGAAGTGGTCAAGCAAACGAATATTCAAAATCGGAACTAAGTCGCCAAGAAGCTTCATCTAGAGAGTAGTGGAAGGGAAGAAAGCAACATGAGGGAGGATATCTTAAGATGATTTCGGGGCTTAGTGTCGCCGTGGCCCGGTCCTCGACCAGGTCTCCTATTTGTTACACCCCCCTCCCCCCAGGAAGCAGCCTATAGCAACTTTCTAACTTCCAGGTACTTTTTTTTTTTGAGATATATACAAGAGTTGTTACATTCTTGTACAGCCACTAGTACGCGTAGCGTTTCGGGCAAGTCCTTAATCCTATGGTCCCTGGAATACGATCCCCTGCCGCGAAGAATCGTTTTTTCATCCAAGTACACATTTTACTGTTGCGTTAAACAGAGGCTACAGTTAAGGAATTGCGCCCAGTAAATCCTCCCCGGCCAGGATACGAACCCATGACATAACGATCACGGAACGCCAGGCGAGTGTCTTACCACTACACCACGGAGACCTGTTTACTGTTAGGTGAACAGGCACATCAGGGTGAAAGAAACTCTACCCATTTCTTTCCGCCTCCACCGGGGATCAAACGTGGAACCTCAGGATTACGAATCTAGAGCACTGTCCACTCAACTGTAAGGCCCCACTAATGGGAAGAAAGGGGGTTCTTAGCAAAATTTGTAAAAATGGTTGCAGGAGCACAAGGCTCTAAGAAAATATGAAACCCCATCCTATCGAGTATCACAATCTGGCAGCCATCCACCAAGCAACCCGTTCTCGCACTTTCGTATTGTCAATATTGACTTATTAAATACGTGCATATGTGACATACTAAACATACTAGTTTACCTTGAAAAGCTTCATAGAAAACACTGACCTTACCTAACCTTCTTAGTATGTTAAGATAAGCATCTTATTGCTTCATAATTACAATTATTACTTAACCTATTATAGGTATAGGTTAACTATAACCTATAACCTATTATAGGTATAGGTTAAGTAATAATTGTAATTACGAAGCAATAAGATGCTTATCTTAACATACTAAGGTGGTTAGGTAAGGTCGGTGTTTTCTATGAAGCTTTTCAAGGTAAACTAGTAAGTTTAGTATGTCACATATGCACGTATTTAATGTCAATATTGACTGAAAGAAAGTGCGAGGACGGGTTGCACCAAGCCTCCTCATGCCACCAATGGGCTAGACAGTGAGGTGGACATGGAAAAGTAATTATTAAAAGAAGGCACCAAGCTGGGAAGACTATGTAGTACCCACATGGGGAAAACAGACGAGGTTATGAGGTTCCACTGTAGAAGTCGTCATTTCAATTTAAAACAAATTGCTACACTGGTGGTTGCAGAGCAGTAAGTGATGTTATAATCATTTCATTCACCTGGGCTCCAGGAGACTCAAGTCGCCGTATGACACCAAAGATCTATCGACTGAGCTATGAGCAATCATAATAAGGAAAGATTCCAGAAGCAACTACCGCTGCCAAACTGGAATTGTGGTGAATGAAATGTTATTTCCACGGAAGTGTGGATGACAATTTGATGCTATAATAGTAATTTAATAATTTGATTAAACTACTGGGAAGTTAAAATTTGAATTAACACAGTAATATGTTGGTGAAACAATTATGAAGAAATAATGTTTTTTTCACTTTGAGCCTAATTGGTAATGTTAAGGATGAAACAAAAGTCTAATTTTGTTTGTACACTTCAATGTTAATGACCTTTCATAATTGTCGTAGTTTTTACATTATTTACTATTCTGTAGTTTGTACTGTACTGCTGTTTCAGGTAATTATACAATCAATTTCTTCTAAATATTTTCATACTAATAATTTTGTGAGCTTCATGGCCATTGGACATTTGAAAAATCAATAAAACTTGCACAATGTGTACAGTAACTCCCTGTTAATAAATTTTATACAGAAGATGGCACGCACGTTTATGACAACCAGATCTCTTCAGTTCGAGTAGGGAGGGAAAAATTATCATGGGAAAGCACCATGCCATTAGACTACATAACACTTGGATAAGGTCGGGATAAGGGTTTGGGATGAGATGGAGAGAAGGAACGGTGTCTTGGGCGGTCAGGGATTGAACACCGACCTGCATGGGTCGCAGTTTGATTACCAAGATGATAATTTTTGTTATTTAAATAAAGTTTTAATATTTTTATTTAAATCCTAATTGAAACCAGATGTAAATCAAACAACCTTATTTAGGCCAGTAAACCTCATCATCTTGGGTAATCACTCAAGTTCATCATCCATTCATTTCCTTGTGCTTGTTGTTGGGAGGTTGCTATCCGAGACAATGCATTTGCTGCAATTTCTAGTGAAACCAGCCATTATATGTATATTCTGAAGTTCAAAACTTTAGGAATAGGAGAGTGAAACAGTACTTACAATTATTTGTATTATTTGGCAATATATTTGAATATATAAATATACAGTTTGAATAAGATAAATATTAAAATGACAGTGAAAACAAGAATTATGACCATTTCGTAATTTTTTAAATATAGGATGACAAAATTTTGAATACATCTCTGCTGCTGAAAAGCAAGAGTCTCTATATAAGATGAGGAAGACGAAGAAGGAAAGCATTAGGAATAAGGAAGAAAGGAGTCGTTAACTAAAATTCCATGTATACAACATGACTCATACTAAAAGTACAGTAGTACTAATAAAGAACAGGAAAAAATGTGAAAACAAGTGAAATCAATTGCTTGACCAGTCACAACACACACTGACCAAGTCAATGTCTTGGTAATACAATTCTTGCAAATATGAAGACTATAGCCCAAAAATAAAATGCAAACAAATGAACTCAATCCAGTCTAAACAGCTCTTCATTCAGTGTGAGAGTGTAAGAGTGAGTGTGTGTGTGTGTACACTCACCTAATTGCATTTGTGGGGGTTGACCATTTCTTTGGTCCCACCTCTCAAATGTTGCACACATACACACACCTAACCTATACCTAACCCAACCTATATATATATATAGGGTTGGTTATATATATATATATATATATATAATATATATATATATATATATATATATATATATATATATATATATATATATATATATATATATATATATATATATATATATATATATATATATATATATATATATATATATATATATATATATATATATATACACACACACACACACACACACACACCACCACAATATGACTAATCAAATTAGAGTGCTCAAATATTCAAGCACGAGAAACATTTACTAAAACTCAGCTACTCATCCCTTCTCAATATAGGCTTACTTTGACCTTTTAACTACATCATTGGCACTATCACTAAAAATAATGAACATTATGCAAACTTTCAAACTAAAAACAAATTACAGTAAAAACATATTGGTGAATGAAGGTAAAGGATTGTAACTTCTGCATTTATATATTCTCCACGAGTGTGTGTGTTGTGTGTGTACTTACCTAGTAGTGCTTGCGGGGGTTGAGCTCTGGCTCTGGGTCCAGCCTCTCAACAGTCAATCAACTAAGTGTGTGCATAGGTGGGTGGGGGGCACAAGTTGTCTATATGGACAGGTATTAAGTGGCATTCTTCTTTACATAAACATTAATGTCCATATTATTTTAATATTATATATATATATATATATATATATATATATATATATATATATATATATATATATATATATATATATATATATATATATATATATATATATATATATATATATATATATATATATATATATGTAATTTAACAGAGTACCCATAAGTTTGCAGTTTAAGAAAAGTATATCTACAGAAGGTAGCTCTTGTAACAAGATATCCAGAATTATATAAATCAATGTGAAGCTTTCAGTACATTAGAATGCATCATCTTTCTGCTTTGGCTGTAAGAGGAGCACTACTGTACTCGCAGGAAAGAGGACGAGAAAAGCAATTACCACGCGAGAAGAAAATGTGTGTTAAAGGCAAGGTGAATTATGCTCATCATAGCATTTTAAAATTAACATATTTACATAATTTGTATCTAAAAAGCCAAACCTTTAAAAATAAAGAGATAAAATCAGGAATGAGTACGTGCTTAAACAAATTAAAGTCTCTATCAATAAGAACCAATAAAAAGCTCAGAATATTGCAAATGTTTCTCAATCAAACCAAAGTTATCACATTCTGTATTTCAAAAGAGGAAACTAAACTGATGAAATTGTCTTTACAATATTGCATATTCTTGACAAATGTGGGACTAGGTTATATTATATTATGGATCTGTTTGTTTTATTTAATGAACTCCAGTTAATCACATTGGCTCTAACAATAGCCTTTGGATAAAACCCAACAATAAAAACATTAAATTATGGAGTGTCATGGTTTTCTTATTAATTTAGATACTGTATCCCCCAAAATACATGAAGAAACCACATCTATTTAATAGTACAAGCATTAACTTTTTATTACACCAAAAATCCTATGAGACTGAATTCTCCCATTGAGAGAATATTTTATAAGTAATTACATTTTATTTGGCTTATAAAACTATAAATTTGTTGAGATCTTATGGAAAGCCTCTCAGTACTAAGTCAAGAGTGCTAGCTACTCTTCAAAGAAGTATTAAATGTTATAAAAATATCTCATGTTAGTTTAAAATTATGTAAACTTTACCAGTAACCTACTGGTTTATATAAAGTTCTACTCTTATGAGTTGTAAAGCTTCATTAAGAATATGTACATCCCCCGACTGTAAAATATTTAACTCTTGGTAAACCGAAGGCTCAAAATAAAATGATTGCAGGATGCTTTAACTTTATCTCTTCCCTCTCGTCTTCTTAATTATTGTTGGGTCTGAGCGTCCGGTTGATACGGTTAATGAGTCGTTCAGGTCGTTTGGATTTTCTTGAGACCTGAAAAAAACATCAATGTTAATACACCAGAATAGAATATCAAGCAATATACATGGTAACTCACAAAAATAAACACATTTTTACACTCACACATGCAAAAGAACCTTGTGCAATAAATGCATAGAGGGAATGCAATGTACTCTAGCAATAACTACAGTATTACAATACAATACTACTTTAGCTTCCTGTAGTCTACTACAATAAATATTCCAGAACTACATGGGCCAGTTTTAATAGGTAAGTGTTAAGACTAGAAGGAAAATGGGAAATCACTAAGAACTCTAAATGACCCGGCCAGGATTCGAACCCATGATGTCCAGGATCACCCCCAAAACATATATAGTACCATGACCACTGTACCATTGATTGTCTATAAGGATTGGTCAGGTCTGTCCTAATTGGTCAAAATTAAATATTTCATGAAAATTTGACTTGTTAGGCAACTCTGGTTATTGGGTACGACCAACAGACAGAATATATATAATATATATATATATATATATATATATATATATATATATATATATATATATATATATATATATATATATATATATATATATATATAAAACAATGGAAGGGAGTACCACCTGGAAGAAGGGGGACCCATAGCCTCGGAGGAAACCACGCATAACGCATTAGAGGGAATGTTTAGATCCCCTCCAATACAGTTTCTGTGTGCTTTTCTCCTACCACCCCCTTCCTTTTTTATTTTTTGTGCTTTATTATGCATTTGATGGTTACAAGATATACATGGATATTGTATATATATATATATATATATATATATATATATATATATATATATATATATATATATATATATATACATACACACACACACAAGTGAGATGAGTGAGTGAGTGAGTGAGTGAGTGAGTGAGTGAGTGAGTGTGTGTGTGTGTGTGTGTGTGTGTGTGTGTGTGTGTGTGTGTGTGTGTGTGTGTGTGTGTGTGTGTGTGTGTGTGTGTGTGTGTGTGTGTGTGTGTGTGTGTGTGTGTGTGTGTGTGTGTGTGTGTGTGTGTGTGTGTGTGTGTGTGTGTGTGTGTGTGTGTGTGTGTGTGTGTGTGTGTGTGTGTGTGTGTGTGTGTGTGTGTGTGTGTGTGTGTGTGTGTGTGTGTGTGTGTGTGTGTGTGTGTGTGTGTGTGTGTGTGTGTGTGTGTGTGTGTGTGTGTGTGTGTGTGTGTGTGTGTGTGTGTGTGTGTGTGTGTGTGTGTGTGTGTGTGTGTGTGTGTGTGTGTGTGTGTGTGTGTGTGTGTAATTACCTAAGTGTAGTTACCTAAGTGTAGTTACAGGATGAGAGCTACGCTCGTGGTGTCCCGTCTTCCCAGCACTCTTTGTCATATAACGCTTTGAAACTACTGACGGTCTTGGCCTCCACCACCTTCTCACTTAACTTGTTCCAACCGTCTACCACTCTATTTGCGAAGGTGAATTTTCTTATATTTCTTCGGCATCTGTGTTTAGCTAGTTTAAATTGTGTGTGTGTGTGTGTGTGAGTGAAATGTATTTTATACATCCATACACATACTGTACGGATGGTTGCACTTAGAAATACAAGTTACAATTAATTGTGGTTGATATTGGCAGATGGTTATAATGCTGGTACACATGTCAAATAACAGGAAAAATTAGTTCAGTGTCAAACTGCATAATAAGAATATTACATCAATCATTAATTGCCAAGACTCTGAATAAATTTACATTATACATGAGAATCTGTAGCGAGTAAACATTATACTCGCTCCAATATCTCATTACCTTAATGACAAACTCATTAGCACTAATCCTTTCCCTAATTACAGGTAACATTCTTTCCATCCTATTGGAGGAAGCCAAGGTGTAGTCGCCAAATATAAGCAAGCAAGAAGCGAATAGCCATCTTTACGGGCTATTCATGCCCGTGCCACCTCTTGGGTGGCTTAATCTTCATTAATCGAATAGCCATCAGTATGATTTCCACAGTGATTCAGTAAACTTCAGTACAGATGCTTCGGATTTACCATACCTCTTCAACCTCAAGAATGTAGCACTCAAAGTGCTCAGTTCTAATCAACCCCAAGACGCTACAGCTTCGACCACATTGAGATACAACGCTCTCGCTCCGCATCGACTTTAGACACTCACGATTCCCCATCGAGCTGCCACACTCTCTCACATAGAGTTCCGTGACTCTGGCTTCACTCGGCTCTCTGCTCTGCTCTAAGCTCCGTCTCAATGTCTACGACACTGCCAACAGCTGACTGCTATAATAAAGACTACTAAATAAATATGAAACCCACTAAACACCATGTATTTAATTTACCCAACAACGTAACATAATCATACATTACAAATCATTCAGAATCACTTCTACAGTTAAAAAACCCCCAGCTTTGAATGCAATGAAACTCCATTTTCTGGGCGAGACCCGGAGGCTCCTTGGAGCTATCTGGGCTGATATGGATATATTGTATTAGCTTTCTGGCATCAGTCAGAGTGCATGGAGTTCTTGCCTACCAGGGACCACAAGCCAGAACCTGGCCCCCCCAGGTTTTAACCCCTGCCCCCCTGGTGGTTGAAAGCATTCTATGTCTACTATCAACTGGGTCTGGCACCCAGAAAGGTAGTCGCCCCAAAACAAACCCCCTGTTCTGGTTCAAATATTGCTACCAAAAACCGAACAAGTAGACAGAACTCCCCAAACAAAAACTAGCAAATTAGCATGACGTCATCACGTTGCCGCGCCACTATCTGTGCAACCCCCCTTCTCCAGGAGGGGGAAGGGGACGCTCCAGACCCTCGTGCCGGCGATCCACACCCCCAGTTCTGAGGTTGGATGTCAAAACATGCAAAAACACGGGAGGGAGGGAGGGAGGGGTGCCAGGAAGCCTCCAGGTCTCGCCCAGAAAATGGCATTTCATTACATTCAAATCTGGTTTTCTGGGGAAAGCCCCATTGGCTCCCAGAGCTAACTACCCAAAGACAACAGAAAATAGGGACTTTCCTGGGAGGCGGTTGGTCCTCGCTTCTCAACTCGAAGCCGAGACAACTGGCTGCAACCCCCAACACAATGCAACACAGCCCCTACGAGGTCCAGGAACACTGACAAGATAGCAAGTGGCCAGGACCCTGTTCGACCTCCAAAAACCCAAAGCCAAAGCAGCAAAACTTACGAACGTCGTGGGCACGAGGATAGACTGCAGGCTGGCTGGAATTGATAACCCTGCGGACGACCTGGGAGACCCGCGCCCGGGAACAGGGAAGGAAGGAAACCGGATCAACCCAAAGCATATCCCCTGCCACTGAAGCCGTGGCGCGCATATAACGGCAGAGAGCCGCAACCGGACACAACACATGATGCACCCCCCGGCCTAACTAACCAAGCATCATCAACCCAAGGACCCCACCGAAAAGCAGCAGACTCATTCTTCGCCAGAAAAGAAAGACATGGCTGCAGATGAACAAACCGACCACCAGGACAAAAAGAGCAGAAACCCCTGCGCTGGAGAAGAGCATGAAGCTCCCCTGACCCAACCCCCAGAAGGCAATGCCAACAAGAAAAGAGCCTTAGAAAAACAATCCTGATCTGAAGGGGCCCCAACAAACGAGGAGGAGAAAAGAGAGCACCCTGTCCAACGACCAGGATGGCTCAGGCGGCGCATGAGCAGCCCGGAGGTGAAACAACACATGAGACAGCTTGTGGAACATAGCAGAAGAAGCAGCAATACCGAATAAAAGTTGCAGCGGCTGTGCCAGCTCTGCACGATGCAAGGCGACAGTATTCGGCATAAGATAACAGTCCTGTAACAACCATGAAAAGAAGGGCAAGACAATCCCACCAGAGACCGAAGTACACCTACGCAGTAATAGGAAAAACCGGAAGGACCGCTAGGAAACTTCAGACTGATGCCGAGACGAAGCATGCAGATGGGAGAACAATAATGAAGCCACCTGTGCTCCATAAGTGATGATAGACCCCGAGTCAGAAACTCCAGACGTGAAGATTTGAGGAGAAGAACGAACTAGTCTCGTACTGGGCTGGACCAATCTGCTGAAAGAGGCAAAGTCGCTGGAAGACCCCCGGGTTCGGACACTAGCAAGCAGCGCCTGAAACAAAGGCTAGACTGGCCACCAGGAAGCCAGAAGGACAACTCTCCCGCGGTAAGTCTCCAAGCAAGTCAGGACCTGGAGCAACAGCTGAACCGGGGAAAAGAGGTATAGGTAACCCCACCTCATTTAGTCCTGCATGAAGGCGTCGACCCTGACAGTCTCGCAGTTAGGAAAAGGCGCCACGTACACCGGGAGACGCCTCGACCAAGCCGACGCAAAGAGATCCACTTCTAGAGGCCCGAACGTCCGGCAGAGCAAACTGAATGAGTCGGTGTCGCACGTCCATTCTGCGGAAAGAGGAATGAACCGGGACAGGCTGTCTGCCAGGTCATTGGACACACTCCCTTCCCCTGAACGTGACCCGCCAGGAAAGCCAAACCCCGGGAACTCAGCAGACGAGTCACCCGAAGCAATCAGCCCCAAAGAGCCAAGGATCGCATCGAACCCCCTCGGTTCAGGCAACGAACCACTGGGTAACAGTCCGAATGGAGCCGGATCGTCGATCTGCGAGTGACCCGAATCCTCCAGAGTGACATCCACACAGCCGTGAACTCCTGTACCATGCCGTGAGACCGATGGAAAGACGAACCCCACCATTCCTGGCCGGCCTGGTGAGCACTGGTCACAAAGCCCCAGCCCAGAGACGATGCGTCTGTGAACACATCAAGCGAGGGCTCGGGTTGACGCCAAGGTACTGAACCCCGAAAAACCTGAAAAGGAAGCTGGTGACACAGCAACCGACGCAAAGCCCCTGGAGGCCAAACCCAGCAGTCGCAAGACAGACAAAAGGGACGTCCCCGAAGTAACCAGAACAGCTGATAACCATCATGGTAAATTTCAGGCTCCCGCACAAACCCCCGAGAAACTGCTGCATGACCTGGGAGCCCCCCAAAAACAGACGAAGGAAG